GCGATGACAGCGTCGCAGCGCTGTATTGTAGCGCCATGGCGCTACGAACTTGCACGTCCGTCACAAATATGGGACGGCGCTATGGCGCTCATTAATGGTGTCATGGCGTTGTAGCGATGCCCTAACTTAAAGGGAAAGATGAGTGCGCCGTTTTAGGCACTTTTTGGGGGATTCTCACATGGGGGTAATGGATTTTGGAGAGGATTGGCTCGAGGTTTGAGGCAAGAAGGCTGAGGAGACGATTTTCGAGGGCTCGTGATCGTTGAGATTGAGTCGGGAACGGTCAATCGACACTACGGCTTTAGTTTCTCTCCTTTCCCTTATCTTTTCTAGATTTATTATGAAATTCGTTGTGGGATTTTATTAGATTTTCGTGAACATGAGTAGCTAATCTTCTTGTTCTAGGGATTGACGTAGCCGTTGGATTTATGAGTTGGATTTATTAACATTTGTCTTGATTGATTTGTTTTTAATCTATTTATGCATTATTTGCTTAATGCTTTTAATCTCTTGATCACGGATTAATTGTTGCTAAATCTGAATCTTATGCTCAGGAGAGGTGGTGTAGGTTGGAACCTGAATGCATGACTGGGGTAGTTCTAAGATGGGGAGATTTAGAATTATCTTAGAGGTTGTTAAAATAATAAGACTTAAGGCCCTGCTTGTTAATGAAACTAGATAGGGATATTGGTTTCTTAATAAGTGAGAGAATTAATTGTGCTCGGGAGAGACTTTTATGATTCTTTATTTCTTGACTTATAGATTAATTGCATATTCAATCTCGGCATGTTTAATTTGTCCGCTTGTAGGTTCAATTGGTGAAATCATTTCCCTAAGACCCGTTCTCCATAAGAGTTTTCTTAGAGTCTTTTTATTCACTTTGTTATTTTATCTTTTGTGTGTCAAAAGAAATTCCTGATTGTTTCTCTAGATAAAATTTGACATTAATATCCGTAGTACTTGAGTGACTAGAAACCTAATCCAGTGGACGATATCGATAATTACTTACCACCTTTATTAAAACTTGACCCGTACACTTGCGGTAAGCAATTTCTACTACATGTCTCCCTCGGCCACCACGTGAACCGTAGTAAATTTGTGGCGTTTTCTTCATTCCAACGACCCTCGACGTTGACCCACACCCAAACGAAGGGCAATTTGGTTTACCCGCCTCCTTCGACATCCATTCGGCATTTACCCACACTCAAACAAAGGTTGATTCGCGTAACCCATCGCTTTTTGGCAAGCAAGCCTAAGGCCGTTCAAACTCGGATTTGGGAACCCGAACTTCCTTGGCATCCACCCAATCCTAACCCAAGAGGTTGTAGTGTGTGTTAGTAGATAATAGACTCACCTAAACTTAGTTTTCGTTCAATTTAAGTATATGTAATTGGATTCTAACCCAAGTTTGTTTGCTTTGATTTAGGAACTCTTCTACAAGCTTAGGAGCTTTAGGACATTCATTAGTGAGTAGTTCTTACTAGTAGGGATGGTTGTTCTTTGATGTATAAAGTGTTTGTGTTCTTATGAGTGTTGTTGTATTGTTCGTTGTTTATATTACTTTATAAATGTTACTCTTGATATATTGACGATGAGTTTAAACATGTTGGATTAAATTTTGTTGGTTATTTGAAGATTGATAATGTGTTTACTAAAGGAGTTTATGGAAATTAGGATTGTTTATGTATTTTAGTTGGATGTAATTCTTAAAGATTAACAGTTATGTTGTCATTTGCTTGGTCGTGTTTGTAAAACATACTGAATATTTGTGAGAAACTTATTGTGTTAAAGCATGCTGGACATATGTATGTCATACAAAAGTATATATTATATTAGGTTTGTTGCAAACAAGTTTTGAGGCACGTAATTGCTTTGTTTCTTCCTCAACGAAAAAACCGTTTTGGTTCGGACCGAACCGGTTCATTTTGATTCGATTTGATTTTTGCCCCCCTTAACCAAATCGATTTTCTTTCACCCCTAGTTTTGAGTTGTTGGGATTTTTGGGTTTTTTCCATTCGATCTGTTTGCTACAATGTTATTCTGAATCCAACTTCCAAACAATTGATGAGGTCATAGTTTGTGAAACCTTGTAGAGATGGCTTTGCAACATCCACTAGGTTTTCCGTTTCTGGTTATGCCGTGTGCTCATTACAAATTCAGAGGGGGCGCTTTATTTGCGTCAACCAATTCGCAAACCAACAAGTTTCTCTATACATGGAGGTTGAAGTCTTCCTATCCTTCATCCATCTCCTTGATAAAGCCACCTTTCCTGGTGCGTTATCCCCTAGAGGTTATGTCATTCTGTAATCTATATATGATTGCTGTTTGTTTAAGTTACTTGGGGGAAACTAATTGTGAAGCGCTTCATGATACAATTTGTAGGGCAGTTGTTTTAGAAGCAGCACTCTAAGGGCCTATAAAACTGCAGGGCCACTCAGGTCAGACGATGGAAAGAAGAAAAAAGTACAAGCCGATATGGACTCTGATGAGGAAGACGATTCTTCTTCCGAAGACCGACAAGACCCCGATCTTATGGATTCCGATGAGAGATGGGAATGGCGGAAAAAGATTAGAGAAGTGATTGATAGGAATCCCAATGTTGAGGAGGAGATAGACAACATGGAAAGGAGAAGGAAGATGCAAAAACTTCTTGCTGAGTACCCTCTCGTTGTGGAGGAGGAGGATCCTGATTGGCCTGAGGATGCTGATGGCTGGGGTTTCAACTTGGGTCAGTTTTTTGATAAGATCAGCATCAAGAATAAGAAAAAGGATGATAAATATGATGATGATAAAGATGATAGTGATAATGAAATTGTCTGGCAAGATGACAACTACATTCGTCCAATTAAGGACATAACCACTGCTGAATGGGAGGAGGCTGTGTTTAAAGACATTAGTCCACTAATCATTCTTGTACATAATCGCTACAAAAGGTATGCTCTTTGAACTCACCTAGTTGTCTGCTCTATTATTTTTTACATTAGGATCTTGTGTGGATTGACATTTGTTTTCATGGCTTTGATTGAAATTCATGTCATTATTGTAATATCTTTTCAATGGATTCTAAACCTGCAAGCTAAGGGTCTATTCATGAGGTCGACATATTTTTATATTTTTTTGTAGTTTCATATTTGCATTTGATACACACAAGGGGTGCCTGGTGATAACAGCTCAGGAGGTCTGGGATAACTTTAACTTCTTGGGTTCAAGCCTGGGTGAAAATTAATAATTTAAAATTCTTGTTCTTTCTCGAAGCTGGACTTTTGGACTGGGCGAACAAGGATTGAGGGGGTGGGTTGTGGGCGTAATTTAAGGAGTAGGATCTCTTTTTATATTTTTCATGGTTTCCTATTTGCATTTTATACACCGAAGGAGGTAAGAGCCTAAGAGATACCCTCGAAGTTCTTGTGTTCAGGCATTAGATTGAAAACTTGATAATTTAAAACTCTTTCTGTCTCTTGAAGCTGTCTCTTTTGGGATGGGTGAACAAGGATCAGTGAAATGGCCAATGAGCATAATGTAAGGAGTAAGAATGGGGTCTCTGACATCTCGGTTATCAAGAAAGATATATATATATATATATATATATATTTACATATTCGCATTTTTATGCAACTAAATTTTGTAAGTTTGATTTTGTCTCTGTCGTCTTCTTGATTGAATTGTGATAATTTCCCCTAGCATTCATTACTCTGGGGTCGCTATCATTACCAGTTTGATTTTCTCTTCAGCCACTTTTGGAGTGTTGTTGTGATCATGTTTCTTGATCCTGCAAAAATATCTTTTCGAGGCTTAGAAAACGAAAAAAGGTCAGGATGTAATTAGGGAGAGAATTAGTTATAGGACTTGGGAACCATCAAAGCCTAGTTCTTCTCATTTTCTTCAAAAGAAGGGTGTCCTTCGCTAGAGGTCCTTACATTTCTTAGATATGAATAATTTGATAGAACTCTCTTCTATTATTGATATTAAGAAGACATTATAAGGGCGAAAGGAGGACTAGAGAGCTCCCGTACCTCTCCCAATAGTCCTTAGACAAATTGACAAAAAGATACCCTCTACCTGATGTCGTGGGTGTATTTACCCTATTTACAAAATACCCATACAGCTCCTTAACGAACTAGGCACACTTAACACCCATTCTACTTCCTTACGCCCTACTATCTTGTTCTCGCTTTCTCAAGTACACTTTCTTCTCATGGGGCTATCATAATTTAATGAAAAGTTGGGAGTGAGATACATAAACTTGTTATATTTTTTCAACATTTTATTTTTATTTATGTTTACTGTTTGGCATCATCTTAGATAACTTTAGATCGCTGTTTTTGTAGCTTCCCGGTTATGTGTTCAATGGCTGATACATACTAATAGCTCCCCCATGCCCTCACTAGGCTATTATGAACTCTTGAAGTAGTAATGGAATATTAGAAGAGGTAGCTTGAAGAACCTTCCTACTGATTGTGAAAATATTAAGTAAAGAGATCCCTCAGTCAGCTTTTATCCCAGACTAGGAGGAACATCTTCACCTTTCAACAGTTTCCTCTGAATCTTCAAATTATCTACCATACCACCACCCCCTCTCCACTCTAAAAATCTACCAAAAGCTTTTTTGTATGATCTTGAAAAAGTAACTTTAAACAACGGTTATCTGATGCTTGTAGTGGTTTAACAATAACATGAATTACAATGAGAGTCAATGTAAATAGCAAAGGACTTAGAGGGAATGGGTTCAAACCATGGTGGTGACCTACCTAGGATTTAATATCCTACGAGTTTCCTTGTCAACCAAATGTAGTAGGGTGAGACGGTTGACCCGTGAATAGTCGAGGTGCGCGCAAGCTGGCTTGGACACACGGATATAAAAAAAAAACAATAACATGAACTATAAGATGATCTTTTATATGACAGAAGTTTGCATGCATTGAATTCATGTTTTGTATGCATTTGATTGACTATTCAGGCCAAAGGAAAATGAACAAATTCGTGAGGAGCTGGAGAAGGCCATCCACATAATATGGAATTGCAATCTGCCTTCACCACGAGTAGGCCTATCCTATCAATTGATTGCAGTTTACTCATCTCACTACGTTAACAAATGTCATCATTTTAAACTTGATGTCATTGGGTGCAGTGTGTTGCTGTGGATGCCATTGTCGAACACGACTTGGTCTCTGCTCTTCAAGTGTCATCCTTTCCAGAGATCATCTTCACTAAAGCAGGGAAGATTTTGTTCCGTGAGAAGGGTAAGTAGCAAACGAAGAGAAGACACTGATTTTTTTTTTCTTGCTTCAAATTTTGCAACCGAAGGATGAACCTATTTCAGTGTGCGAGCTTGAGCTCTGATTTCTCGTTTGATTCAGGATTTGTAAGTGGAGATGAGTTATCAAAAATAATGGCATTCTTCTACTATGGAGCAGCTAAGCCACCATGTTTAAAGGACATTCCAGATTATCAGGAGGCGATCCCATCAGTTTCTATTGATAGGAGGATATAAAGAAAATTGTAAGTGTATATAACGGGTTTGTTGTAGGATAAATGAGGTAATTTTAATGCAATTAGTTTCTTTGGCCAGATTTTTTTGAAAGACCAAATTCCAATGCTCTTGACTTTAAGCTGTCCAACTTTAAGAGCCTTTTCAGCCTATTATATAGAAATATGAATGATATGTATCATCCACTTACGAGCAGGTAGTTGTGCAGTTCAATCAGTTGGTAGTCGTTTACTAACTTGAAGGATTACGTAGAATCATCATTCAAAATTCAACATATTAAAATATTTTTAAATTTAAAAACGAAATAAATATAATCATCAAGGTTAAAAGAATTAAAACTCTAATCTAACCTTATAATAAACTGCTTACAACTTCTTTTCAAATATGTATACATATAATAAACCTACTTAATATCATGTGTTTAATATATTAAATCATTATTTAGTTGTCAATCTAAGCATGGTTTAGTGAATATTTAGTCATATTTATTTTCTGTGTTGTCTAAGTACAGAAAACTATTTAGAAAAAATGGAGCAATTTTTGTATATAATATGTATGTATGGTATGAGGTGTAAGAGTAGGTGGGTAGGAAAGTCAATGGCATATTCTGATGATATCTGCAAGAATATGCCACAGAATATTCATACATATTACATATTAATGCAGTGGAATTTGGTTTGTTGATAACCATCCATATATCTCCTATTTTCTCTGTCTTGTGCATAAATCATGTGGGTGATGCTTTAGCCATTTGATGCCTTTGTTGTTGGTCATCTCACCAATCCTCCAACCCCACTGCATTTCTGTTTGGTTAGATGACCATCAACGAACGTTTCAATGGAAAGCTACTTTTTGATGTCTCTCAACACATGCAAACTGTTTCCATCTGCTAATTTATACATATTGCAGTTGCACCATCTTCCTAATTGCTCCTTGTAATTTTTACCTTTCCCTACTATAATTTTATTTCTTCTTACAATTTTTTTTTTATTTTTTTTGCCAGCTGAATTGATTGTGTGCTCATCTATTAGACCACCCACAAAAACAAAGACGTGCTAGACACGGATGTGGTGTCTACCAAATACGCTTCAATGCTCAAGTTAATTTGAGCCTTAACGTTGAAATTGAATCCTTTTACTAAATGGGTCTTCCCCGTTTATCATATGAACACATCTTTTTTTTAGTACAAGTAGGGGTGGGGATTCGAACTCAAGATCTTTATGTCAGAGATAAGTGTCAATTATCGTTGAGTTAAGTATACGTTGGTTCATATAGACTCACCTCATGGTTTAACTAAAATTTGATATTATTCAGCATATTTATATATTTTTGTCAATAGCTCAACAAGATGGAGACAAACATTATCAATATAACAATTGAGGATGCAGAACCACAATTAAAAGTTTAAACACCACCAACTAGTATGAGATGAAATGAAAGCTAGTGTTGCTAAAATTAGCATGATACATAACGTATATACAAGTATGCATAAATATATACTATATAAAATAGGTAAATAATATACAAAATATTTACCGTTTATATACAAGACATGAGCGTAATAGACAAAATACTAAATGAAAACCGTACACAAAATTTTAAAACAAAAAGGAAGAATTTCTTAACGAAGTTCTAAGAAAAGAAATATACTTGTATGCTTCTTGAATATGAAGATCTTCTTAGTTGAATCAAACAATAAGCTCTATACGATCTCATGTACTATATTTGAATACGAACAAAAGAACTATATATGTGGGTAGGGGTGCACGTACATCGGTCGGTCAGGTTAGTTCTAGGTTGAAACAGTCGTCGAACCGACCGTGTTTTATGGGCTGCTTGTGTTAAGGGGAGAGTCGTGATGGAGGTTTATTACCCTCACCGACCGACGATTTGAGAATTTGCCTAGATCGACGAGGTGGTGACCGACATCAATTCGGTTGGGGGGTTAATTTTTCGCCCTCCAATTGTACACTCCTGTATGTGGGTGATTCATTCGAAAGAAACTAAAGGGAAGTTCTATGACTTTTGACTGCTAGGTACGTAGGAGGGGACTTTTATTTATATTTCAATAATTGAGGGAGAGTTCATGAACTTATTTTAAAGCTCTCTATGCAATTGCATTAAGAGATACTTGGAGGAGCGGTTTTGGAAATTTATTTTTACAAATGTCTAAAGTTTTCCAATTTTACACTTTTAGATTTATGAATTTAGGAATTTTTATTAATGTCAATTTTACCCTTATTTGTGTCATTTATATTTATTATTGTTAGTTCTTTTTATTTAAAGTAAAAGATTTAAATCTCTAATTTGATTTTCTAAACCTTTAATTATTGTGGTCCACAAATCATTTATTTCATAATCTCTTAATTTACTCATTGATATATTATACTAAATTGTTAACTATATTATACTAATCTTTTTTGTATTTAATTTTAAGGGATTAAGGGATTATGGAAATAATCAATTCAAATAATAATACTTTATCATTGTTTGTACGTCAGCACTTATGAGTTAGTTATAAACTATATACTTCTATATCCCAATAGACGATACAAACATATATAAACTATATCAGATTATTGAATTCTTATAACTGAAGCAGAATCATCTACCAACTTTGTACTTATTCGTAGATATAAACTATATCCGACAATAAAAAATAAGTGTTGATTTCATGATAAATAATCGATCAGTCGAAATCAATCTCACATAATTTTATGAACTATAAACTATATACTGTTATGGAGTGCTCGATATCATGGAATATTTTTTACCTCTTTTTTTCTCACGCATCTTTTTTTGCAGTAGTATGATAAACATGGTTATATAATATATACTTTTTATTGGTACATATACTATTAAGTTATATAATATATTCTAATTTATAGTATGATCAACATATTCTAGGTATATATTCAATATTAGGTTATATAATATATACTTTGAAGTATATGTGGCATATATTCAAAATTTGATCCATATTAACGTCATACCTTAACATGTACCCAATATAAGTATTCAACATATACTCAAATTTGAAGTTTTTTCGTACTAAAAATTAGGTTATATAATATAATAATATCAAATTTGGAGGTTTTATATAATATATAACCTTTGCGACAAGATTTTTTTTTTTCTGAAAAAATAACGAGAAAAGAAAAAAAAATTGTAGAAACCTAGACTTTTTCCTTTCCCTTCCTCTTTCTTCTCTAATCCGCCGTCCACCCTTCCACCTCCTGCGTTTTCAGCCGCTGCGACGATCTTCCTTTCAGCAAACAACAGACGGTGGCACACTAACAGACCATGAACCCACCTCCATGTTGGGAAATTAACGGTCCTGTATAATTTTCTCTTCCACAGAAAAATATCCAACACAACTACAATATGCAAATAAGAAAAAAAATTGTAAAAGCACAAGAATAACGACACAACAAATTATACTGGTTCACCACCAAGGACTATGTCCAATCTTCCACTTAGATGTGGGTAATTCACTAATAATTGTTTAAGGATTGGATATAATAACTCTCCAAAAAATATCCCATGGAGGTCCCAACAAAACCCCCTAGCTTCTAAGCAATCTAATACAATTACTTAGGAACAAGAATGAAAAAGTCACAATAATCAAGATAAAACTTACCTTGAATAATATGATCTTGATCTCCCAATATGCTGCCAACAATCACGAGTCGTTGCCACGAAAAATTACTGCCAAAAAACCCCAATTCGGCTGCCCCTAAAATTCTGACGGCTCCTCCCCACAAAACATAAAACTCATATATATGAGTATGTGAAACCTAAAAAATAAAGGTTTGGGCTTTTGGCCCATTATTTGTTTTCACTCCTTCCTTTTTTGTTTATTTATTTTATTTTGGATCCAAAAATCCCAACAAAATAACAATTTCGCCTCCCACTGCATCAAAAATGTCCCATCATCTTGACACCCTCGGTAAAGGCACAGTTCTTATCCTCTATCAACGAACTGATCCACACTACTAGCCCTACCCAAGCTCTGTCTGTGATGTGATTGCCCCAAGACTGAGCAATCCTACGTGGTCTTGTCTCCCAGACGCTAGAGACACAGCCACATAATCCCACTCGATCTAAGTGGTCCCCTCCGCTTCCTTTCTCGATCGAACCCAACGACCTTTGAAGGAAGATTCCTCTGATGACTCGGCGCTCCCACCCAAGTCCATTGCCTTTCTAGAGACATTACCCTTGACTTCAGTACAAACTGTAGTCTTCTCCCTCAATGCACTACCTCGCCTATGCGACTTCATTAGCTCGCTCATCCGTCTGATAACAGGGGCTTGAAACTGACAACCTGTTGAACACCTTTCTGAGTTGTTCCCCCTTACCCTTTCCTCTACTTCCCAACTGTTGTACTTGAACTGATGGCAAACTCATTTGATCTGTCCTGATTGTCAATGCTACTGATTCTTTTAAGTCTCGCCCTGAACCATGCAGCTACTCAGTGCATCCTCTGTCTCTCAGATCACCTGACAACCTAAAACTCAGACACATAAACAGAAGATCTCTTGTGGCTTATTTCCACCACCCAGGAATCCCTCTTGAGCTTCCAGCAAACTCCAACAAACTCACTGCTGTAACCATCGTCGTCTAGCTTCCCTGCGGATAACGAAGCTAGGAATATACTTGACGCCTCGTAGCACCAACTTGGCCCCTTCACCTTTCTTCAAACAAACATCTCCAATTCCTCTCACCTTGGAGATACTCTCATTTCCCATCCTCACTGAGCTATAATCACCTGCAATAAAAGATTAGAACCAACGTCTGTCTGAAGCAACATGAGCTGATGCTGCTGATGCAAATCCAACCACCGATCCATTGAATGTACTCGAGGGAGCAATTACAAGAAACAAAGCAAAGAAGATTCAAGAGGCTTTCACACTGCATCTTCAAAGGTTGATTAATACACATAAACCAACAAAGAGTTTTGAACCCAAAATTCTTTATAATATTACTTCAATGAGTCAAGAAGAGAATGAAGCAAAGATGACATGAGAAAAGTTGTCTACTTTGAGAGATGACACTGACCACAAAAAAAAATGTGCAGAATTGTGAACTGGTGTCTTTGCAGATTGCACCTCTTGAGAGTTTGTGAAGTCAAAAGTTGTTAAACCATATCCAAATGTGGATCGCCTCCTACAGCAGATAGATAAGACAATTTGAAGCGTGACTACATTTTTTGATCCACATTTAAGCATCTAGATTAATGTGCAATCAAGTTTTAATTTGCATGCCTTATTTTCTTCAATTTGCATTAAGTAGGATTTTGATGGACTTTTGGTATTCCTTAGTTGAACGACCCTTTGGCCTATTTAAACGCTTGTAATCACCTTGTTATGGCTGATTTGACATATTGAAATCAAGAACTTTTGTTCATTAACACATTTGGTGTTGTCTCTTTCAAATCTTGCTTTAGGTTTGATGTTAAACCGATTCATTGGATTAGTCTCGATTAAGCTAATTCTGGAGTGAGTCGTCTTAGGATCTAGGAGTGACCATCATAGATTCAATGTGTGATCTAAGAGTGATTCATCCTTCTAACCCTACTCTTGGTTGGAATCATTCGGTAAGTTTGTCACTTTTGTGAATGTTTGCGAGGATCCTAGAAGGACCTCTAGCTTTGTAAACCCGAGCAACCTTGGCGCTTATCATTTGGTATCAGAGCATTGGTCGACATCCTTTAGTTGGCACTAGAGATAAAATATCTTTTACTTTATGTAATTTTTTCATTCTGTCATTTCTTTTTCGGGATTAGTTTCTTACAGAGTGTAACAAGGCATACTACAACTTGTCTTGAAATTCTTGTATCTTTGCTCTCGGA